TTAAGGTATATTCCAACCAAAATGATTCTATTATTCTCTGCACCCTCCCTTCAGGTATGGAAATACATTTATGAGAACGCCCTGAGTCGTCTTTTATCCAGGCTGAACAGTCCCAGGTTTAGCTCAAGTAATTTTGCTGCCTGAAACAGGTACCTCCAAACCTTAGAAAGTCTCTGTAATAGGAGTCAGAAAGCGATCGTCAAAAGATTTTTCACAACATAGTGCCAACATTATTTCTCCTTCAAATCATGTGTTCATCATGTGCTTAGACTAACTCAGCTACATTTGTACTGCAAGAAAATTTACCTCATTTTACTTAACAGGCTCAGCAATAAAAGAATTAAAACAGAATCAATCTTTCCTTACATATTGCCAAGGGAATGTTTTATTGAGCTCAAACCCCCATCTTCCCTGTGTCTGAATTAAAACATCTGAAGAACATGCAGTTCCACAGATCTAAATCCCAAGAACTAGCTCATCCACAGAATTTTTCAGATTAATGATGAAGAATGAACATGTAGAAATAGTAACGAAATATCTTTTACTTGTACAGTGAGTACACACTGTTGGAAACCAACTACACTAAAAGAAGCCCAGCAGAAATCTAGAAGATTGAGAAGAATGGTGTTGCAAAACTGGACCTCTGGGACAAACTCTAGAAAGTCTTCAGGAGGGAGGGGCCCTTAGACTAATCCATTTACTCAAATAAACCCTCCACAAAAAAAAAGTGGTATTATATAGTCCTCTTCCACTGCATGATTTTGTTCCACACATTGAAAAGCTACTTCAAATCATAACTCCTTATTGAAGAACTATGTCCTGCACTATTAACAGGGGAAAACCTACAGAGAGAGAGATTAAAAACACGTAGTTTAGCCTACGGCTGAGTCAGCTGTGGTACAAGTTTGTCACTTCCTTAAGTTTAACATAGCACCCCTGTCATCACCCAACATGCTTCTGGCAGGGTTAGAAGGGCTATTCTAATACAGTACAATAGATTGAAGTAGAAGACAATACTGTGTGCCCCACTGATGCTGAATGACCTTCTGATAATACAGAGTTATTTCTGCAGAGTTCTGCGTCACAAACATACAGGTCTCAGGATTGCAGCTCTGTTGTTGACCCAAGCTGATAAGCACTACAAAAACCACACAAACAGGTTCCACATTTTAACTCTAACGTACAGAAAAAGAAATATAAAACATCACTACCTAAAACAGTCTGAACAACCTACGTTATAAAATTTTCCACATGTACTGCTGCTTCCACAACACCCAGAGAAGGTGGCTTCGTAGCTTCTGCCTGCAGTTGTCTCACTTCTTTACGCAAAGCATGAAGCTGCTGGCTCACTGCTTCATTTTTATGTTTCCCTTCAAACTAAATGACAAAGAGACACATATTCATTTCAGAATAATATTTTTTTGCTGAAACCCTTTGATGTTGCACCTATTTGTAAAAATGAAGCAGAGCCCAGTAAGAGAACTCTGAACATAGATAGTTTTTCCCCTGAGATCAGATTTAGTTGATCAGATTTAGTACATCGTGACCAAGCACACATCCATGGTCACGTTCCTATTTAATTATCACACACTAACATAATTCATGTCTTTTATATAAGGCTTTTAATCCACAGGGACTGAAAGTTAGGAGGGATCAAGAAATTCATATACCAAGCAACATGGGAATATTTCTATAAACATTTTCATGCTTCTATCCCTATCAGTGAGCATATTCTCACATTCCCACATGGGGAAGCAGTTTAGAACGAATGCTATGAGCAAAACAAACTTTACACAACAATTTATTCTTCAGCTGTTGATGTGCATCTCCTTTTGAGCACTACACATTAGGTATTTCAGGTAACTATTATGCGTGTGTGGATTTATTTGGTCAACTGCTATGACTCTTGTAACCACTCAACCATTTCACGTTCACTATCCATGTCCAACAGCCCCAAAACAGAAGTGATGCCATGCCTCTAACCTGGATGGTCAGGAGAGCTGCTCCCTGACAGCCTTTATTTGAAGTTCCACGGCACTCCAAATGGAGGGTGATCTGCTCTTCCCGATTGACATACAGCTTAGGTACTGTTTCCAGTATTTCACCGTTAAGAGCAACATGCTGAGATTCCCAGAGAGCTGCAGTTCTGAAAAGCGTTTATTAATAAAGTTACCAAAATCCTTATTGAAAATAGCAATGCTAAGAATTTATAAGCAAGAGATGAGACTTCAATTTAATGGGCTGTACAAAGACTCGTGACACTTTCCTAGAAAATATAAAAGGTTATTAAATGGAGTTAAAACTTCAAAGTAATAGCACTTCAAAGTAATAAAGAAATACGTTCATAAGAACAAAACTACTCAAGTCTGCATGAGTTGTTTTTAAATATTCTATACGATAACCTGGAAGGAAATTAAATAGATCACCCACTGTAGGAAACGCAATTTTCCTCCAGACAAAAAAAATCTGGACTGTGGGATGATTCAGTCACCAAAAAAAAGTGCACATAAAATTGCTGCTGAAATTGTGTAGACACAACTTCTCTTGGGCTTAGCCAGTTTTGTTTTGGTTTATAATATTGTTATTAAATGATTACACTGGACACGAACAGCTACCGATTCACCAGCTGTGTTTGAAAATAATTCAGCTGGATTCTCTTAGTAGGAAGATTAAAAACAGAAAGTCTCTTTCACTCAAAGCTGATAGTCCCAGAAATCAGATTTCTCTCTTGAGGGCTCCAGCGCTTCATACTGCAGCTATTACGTTAGTGCAAAAGGGTTAACTAACATATTGTCAATAAATCTGGGCTACACAGAGGCTTTATTTTAAGAGGTATGCCAAATGAGAAAAGAAACTGTAGGAGTTGGATGTCAGCTGATGTAATCTCAGTCATCAGACAAGACTTGTGTAGTCTCATCCTAGTCAAACGAGTAGATTAACAACTTGATAGCCAAGAAGAAAAAAAAAAAAACACACCCACAAACAGGCCCAGAAGCAGAAGTCAAGTACTGACAGTCTTGTGCCAACACCACAAATGAGGCTGCTGTAAAGGGCACCTGAAGACACTGCTAGGCGTGCTAGTGAGGCAAAAGGGAAATAGCTATGTCTTACTTGGCGTGTCGCTGCAAGATGTTGAGGTCCCCACGCATGAGCTGAATTGCTTCTTTCTGACTTACTAGACTGCCAGAGGAAATAACTGGCACAGGAGCTTTCATCGTCTGGAGTGGAAGAGGGGGCTTTGGAGTATCAAACTTCTTCAAATTATTCATTACCCTCTCTTTGGCTAGAGAAGAAAGCAGAAGCAAGATTTGTCAATAAGAAAAGTTTAGGAGAAACTGAACAAAAAGGTATTTTTTTGCATGAAACATTTTTAGCAGCAGACAAATATTTCTCAGGATTCTTCCGTTTAAAAAAAAACAAAACCAAAACACACTTAACTAATCTTCCTGGGTTTGTTGGCAAAGTTGATTTCACACAGTAAATTTTCATGACCAGCGCCACTACACAAATATTACGATCCAAAGCCCCATTGCTTTCCTTGTTTCCCCCACCCACCTTCTACCCTCCCCATTTTCCTCTTAGCACCCCATTTATTCCCCTTATCTGACGGAAACTCCCAGACCCAGTCTAAGCCAAATCCATCTTCCTTTCCCTATAATTCATCCTCGCCTCTACTTTCACCAGCTCCAGTTCCTCCTCAAAACACAGACTCTTTCCAGGTCAGCTCTCTCCTCCTGCTGATTCCCAATCAGGTCCTCTGCCCAAACAGTGACAATTCACCTATGAAACTATTCCAGTTTCATTCCATCCCCTCCCTCCCCTTTTTTAATCAGGCCCCCCCAAAAAAATCCAATCTCACCATGTCCTTAATATACCTACCATGATTATTATCCCCTTCTGCGCTAGAACAACCCTTCACCATGCCAAAATTTCAGGGAAAGTCATTGAGAGCAACGACAAAAACCAGAGACAATCTCTTTTTCAGTTGCACTGGGTTTTGTCTTTGCTTGCAGCTGTCTGTATCTAAACCTTGGGGAAATTCAGCCTGTCTGGAGCAAAGGAATCTTTGAGGAGCTAACCCATGAAGCTCTAGGCACAACACCACCTGCTGTTCTCTGATGCGGTAAACTTTAAGCCAAAAATGTTGACGTTAGCCCCTCACATGAGCATCTTGGTGAGAACACCAGGAAAACTTCATGCGTGGGCATGTAGTGATAGGATGAGGGGTGATGGCTTTAAACTGAGAGAGGGGAGATTCAGATAAGGAAGAAATTCTTCCCTGTGAGGGTGGTGAGACACTGGCACAGTTGCCCAGAGAAGCTGTGGCTGCCCCCTCCCTGGCAGTGCTCAAGGCCAGGCTGGATGGGGCTGGGAGCGACCTGGTCTGGTGGAAGGTGTCCTTGCCTATGGCAGGGGGGGTCAGAACTGGGTGGTCTTTAAGGTCCCTTCCAACCCAAACCAGTCTGTGATTCTGTGAAAATACTGTACCCACAGAAAACAAACTGTATTAACATCTTTACTCACAGACATCATTACATTCCTAAAGAAAACAGGGCTTCAACTCAACATGATAATAATTCTTCCTGGCCCGGTTCCATTAACAATATCCTTATTTCTTACCTGATAAAGGGTTGGTGAAATCTGTTTGCCCTGCAGAAACACAGTTTGTATGCAATTCAAGCTGAACCTGCAGCCAAAGGTTTAGAGCTTCCTGAAATTCATGGTGTACGAGTTCAACATTGACATACTCCATCCACAGATCCTAAAGCAGAAAAGAACGAGTCAGTACCATATACTGTGCACCCATCCCAGCAGCTGGGGAACCAAAACAAGTACATAAAACTAGATCCTGCACTTAAGTCAGAGGAAAATTACTAGGAAAAAAAAAAAACCTACGTTGAAGAAAAAAGCTGCAGAATTTTTTCACATCTATAGATAAGCTACTGATAAAGCATGTGTGACAGAGGAGAAATTTGACAAGCACACGTGGTATAATTTCTAACAAATAAGAGAGAAAGCATACAGATTATTAATACTCTGTTCCTAAAAGAGGAACACAGAGGAAACCAAGACAGTCTGAAACACCACGGCATGATTAACTGTCATCAGGCTCAAGCAGGCTGTACTTCTAGTGGTCACATACACTAGAGGAACAAAAACAGAGCAGGTATGAGGAAATACCCTTCCAAAATCTCCCCTCTCACAGGTTTTTTAATCACATTCACTCTTTAGGCTCACTGGACAGAACTATATACACCTCTCACTTGCTAATTTATATTTGAACCTGACCTATTACAGTGTACCAACATGAGCAGACTTCAGCTTCCAGTCTTTTGTCATTTAAACTTCCAACTTCAGTAATTCTCTAAAATGACGTTCGAACATAAAAAGAATTACAGAAGAGCACAGAATAAGGAGTGTGTTCTCATTAAGACATGCAAGAAATCTACTCATGAGTTCTCATCCAAATATAAAGCAAATATAAAGCAAGGCAGTTTGGGACAGCACAGGATCTTTAGGAAAAAAGTTAGAGCTGTGAAGGTATGATACATGCTGTACTAGTATCAAAGACCAGTGGCACCAAGCCTCTCACTACTTTAGAGGACCCATTTTAACAAGTGAAGTGAACTTTGGATCCCAGATTGCCAGCGTCATTAGAACTTCACCTGTTGGTTCTGCATCACTTTAGCAAGCCTATGGACGTCGTATTGCTTTGGTAAAGAAGGAATGTACGTGTCTCCTTTCTGGAAACTTTCTTCTTCCAACCACAAGACAAAAACATTACAAAGCCTGAGAATTTTAAAAAAAAAAAAAAGAAAAGGAATACAAATAAATCAATGTGAACTTTAACTGTATGCACAACACACTCATTCCGGGGTTTAGAGTTAAGGCAACAAACACGGCTACAAGGTGACATGGCTCAAAACACAGATGTTTCAAGACGTTTGTGACTAGTCTACTAAGTGTCAGTTCAAACACTAGCAGTGGAAAGAAGCTGTTTAGAAAAATATGAAGTGCAATAGCAGAGTAACAGGACTAATTTTGAAGAACAAAGAATTATTTAAATTAGCACACAACCGAGGACTCTCATCCAGAACCCCATTTAAAAGACAAGGGGAAAAAACAGCAAGTTTGGCTTCTCACCCCACGACTCCTCTAGAGTGCCTGCTCCAAATGGTCACACCTGAGTTGAGTTACAGTTTTTCATTTTTTTCAGACTCAAATTCAAGGCTAGTTTGTTCTCATTTCCTCCTCTAAGACTGCACTTGAGGAAAGAGGTGTATTTATGTTGAACTGGTAACATTCTACTGGGTGGTACCCTTTTTTAATCATACCATCCAAGCTTTCCTGACACGGAAGAACAAGAATGCCATTAAATCTTCACGCTGTGGTACTAAATATCACTAGCAAACTCCTGTTTTCTCTATCAGCGTCATTGAAGCAGTCTAGTTCCAAGAGTCAGCCCGCATGAACTCTACCAATATTTTCCCTCCTCTCTGGGCGGTCATTAAACTTCCTGAGCATACGATTCACTTGGCTGTAGAGCAGTCCGGTTTTATGTCAAAGTAGGGAACTGCTCTGAAATGAAAGTCTAAAAATATTAATCAAGGTACATCCAGTGAGCATGTCTGGATTATTTTTCACTAATGACCAAGGAGGTTTCACGATCTCCTTTGTCTGTTTGTACAGTACCTACTGATCGCTGGCAGGGCAGGCGGGAAGCACTTAAAAGAAGCTCAGATCCCACATGCCAAAATCCCCTGACTGAGGGACTCTTTCCAAATAATCCTTTCAACTAGTTTCTGGGAATATTCAGATACTGTAATACTGCAAATATTTCTTACAGTAGACCTCTCAGACCAAAAGTGTCTGTGTAACAGAACCACGGACTTGTGAACAGCACAGCTACAGTTCCAGCACGCAGGAGACACGTTAGCTCTCAGAAGTTACCACCCCTTACGAAAGTGAGTGCTCATCAGCTGAGCTGCAGCGAGTGCCCTCAGCCTACTCCCAACACAAGACAACAGTCTTGTGATAACGTTTTGGTTAAGCAGAGGTATCACTGGCCAGCTGGCACAGAACACGCTTGTCACAGCTGAACTTTAGCACGCTAACTGGGTAAACTGCACCAAGTGAATCATGTGTTGAAGTCCCCAGTAAATGCCTCGATGAAGTGATCTTACTCAGGCATAAGTTTAGGCCCTGGTCTGTGACATGTACACACACAAAGTAGCATTTTAAATTTAGAGCTAGGTGACGTACGTTCCGGTAGCAGTTATGTCTGAATAACAAATATTTTACCAGCACGGAGATACCATTAATCAAAAAGCAAGGCTCTCCCCTAAGGGGAGCAACAACTATCAACAGTGCTTTATTTTTTGTAGTAAAATCAGCCCACTCTCAAACAGAACAAGTTGTATCAACAGAGGAAGGGACTGGACCACAACTATCCATACAACAAGCGCCTGCAGTGCACCTCAGCCAAGGGTCACATCCCTTCACCGCTCCCACCGCTAAAACTGTGCTCTAGTGGTTGGTCAGGCAGTTGCACTGAATAAGATCGGACTGGGCAGGCTTTTTTTTTTTACCTGACAAGTTCCTTATGCAGCTCTGGTGAAGTCAGGTAATCCGGTGAGCAGCTCGCCTTCTCTGGTGATCTGTCACTGCCCTCTGCAGGACTCTCCACTCTGAGCGCTTTACTGGCAGCATGGTGGAAGTCGGCTACCTCTATTAAGCGCTGCTTCATTTCATTTAGTAAGGTAACGTGAGCTGCACTCTGGAAAAAACGCCTTCCAATACAGCCATCTACAGGTAATCTGAAAATGAACAAAAAAGCATAACAAAAATCTTGTTGCAAGGGTCCAATCAGCACCTCTGCAAATAAACTGACTCTTTAGAGAAGCTGCTGGTACCCACTGCTTTCAGGTGCAGTCTGAATGTGAGGGACCGCGTCCCACTCGTGGTGCAAACTTACTAGTGCTTGCTAACCTGCTGAAGAGACTCACCCATATTGTGGTCCTGGTCGGTGAAGGTAAAGGAGGAAGAATTTCTGCCAGATTAGCGGCATGAGGGGGTGATCAGCAGGGGTAGCAAGAGCCTGGTGAGCCCAGCGGTAAATCATGAGCCTCTGAAGGGAGGGTACAATGGGCAGCTTCAGCTGGGTCTGCGCTTTCTGCAAAAAGAACTTTTTCAGACGAGTGTTCTGCTGCAGTTCCCTGTAACAGGCTGTCACAGGGCAACTTAAGGGATTAACACAGCATGAAAACTCAGCATTACAGAGGAGAAAACTTCGGGAACGTTCATGCATCTGTTACAGGTCTTAGAAGAAGAGCTGCACAGCTCATAGTTACGTTGGACAGCTGTTAAGAGAGCAGTGCTACACCTCTGATCCTTAAAAGAGAATAAAATAGCATGATGGCTCTGTGATGCAAGGCCAACACATGGGCCATTGGTTAATTACAGTTAATTATTGCTCTTCCTCACAGAGGTAAATGTTCCTGGTTTAGACTTCCATAAGACTGGTGATGTAAGAGAACAAAGCAGCAACAGTGAAGCACACAGCACATTCCATCCACTAAAAGTAAAATTCTTAAGCCATGTGAGGACGCAGAATCCTACAGCATGCTACTTTTAGCTTTTCCCAGGCTACACTCAATACAGCTCTAAAATGTAGAGTAAAACCAATGTGAATAAAGAATATAGAAGAAAAAAAAAACCAATTCTTTTTGCAGAAGCAGAACAAAGCCAAAGCAACGTGTGAGCAGCAGCACTCTGATTAGCACACGGAACGCTACTCCACAGGCCCACCACACCATAAAAAAGTCACACACCAAGCTCCCATGGACTGTGCCTGAAGCAGGGCAATGGGAGGTCATTTTGAGCTCCCAAGTCTCAACATAGACCCTGGCACTACCTCATCCCCCACACTAGACCTTGGGAACCCTCAGCACCCTTTTACACAGACTACCCACATACTATCTCACTGTTTTGCAGCTAAACCAAGACATGCAAGCCAAGGGACAAATGTTCTCCAGGCTAGTCTCCAAGGATGCAAGATGTGTACCAGTCTAAACATTGCCCAAACAAACCTACTTTCATAGAGCTTCTACACCACCTTCTTCATTAAAACACAATGAAACTGTTGAGATGAAGGATGGGCCAAAAGTTTCACTTTGAGACTGGACAGCTTTGGCTTCCACTTGCTTTATTCCACAATTTCTAAGTGAAGTTGGGCAAAGAACCTAGAAAATGCTGCAACATGGCTTAAAGCACACCTGACTAAGTGCCTTGTTAAGGGAGAAACCTGAGCAAGTTCTGAAAGTCTTGGAAAATTATTCAGCAAATACAGAGAAAAGTAAAGCCCAGACTTCTGCAAAATTCAGACCATCTGAGAAATGCTCTTTGAAATACAGACATATTTTCCCATCTGTGAAAGTATCTGCACTCCTTATCTCAGTGGTATGGAATAAATCCACTGAAGATATTGAGGCATTCAGATGACCCAGAAAATCACACGAGAGCACTAATTACTGACTGACGTTTTCTCTAAATAATGGTATACTAAAACACAGATATTTGCATAGTAGTTTTTAAGTGTTCAACTCAAAATGTAAAGGAAAACATCCCTGAGGTAGTTTTCTCCTGGAAAGCCAGATAAAGCATTAGTTATGCTTTTATCCTGGTAAGAAAAACTACCTAATGTAAAAACTGAACAAGAGAACACTTTTCTCCAGTAGTTCTCTCTAATAAAAGTGGATGAACAGTTCTCTCACCTTTAAAGCTTGATCAGGAGTCAAAGCATTAATAACCAACTCCCCCTCCACAACTCTGCGAAGCTGTGAATCTTCTTCAAATATTGACTCCATATTTAACACCATCCATGAAAACCAGACCTGTACAACATATTAGTAACAGAAACATTGGTAACAAAATGGCAGGGGTAGGATCAGGAAGCTCGCTGGTTTCTTATGAGGAACGTCTTCGCCAGATTCTCATTCCAAGGTTGCAGAAGCAGTATCACGTCTCAACAAGAAAACCGAAAACCAGTTTCCTCCTTATCCACATTCAAACTTCCCCTCTGTATTTTGTACAATCTTGGGAAAGAAGGGGAAAACCAGGGATAACTAACAGAATTATCCACAGAGCTCTGGAGGAAACAACCTACTCAAAGACAGTAAAGTATGATCTTCTCTCTCCCACCTGCATTACACATCTCCAGTGGGGGTACTGCAGGTTTTTTTTCTTTTTGCTTGAACGAGGAACTCGCTTAAGCGGAGACAAAGCAACAAGTATTCAAAATACCTATACGATAAAGACTGATCTAATTGAAAAGTCAGGCTTTACATATTTTTTCTCATTAAATATATCACAAACAATTGAAGATTAAAAGAAATCTTTACTAATACATCCTATTACATGAATTCTTGGCCACAGATCAGACAAACTCTCTCTGCGCAAAATGTCCATGTTCCCTTTAGTGTAATAAATCCACAGCGATCTCTTAGGCTAAATTAGGATTTTATCATCAAAAACTAACAAACACTGGGATAAAAAGAAAGAGGGAACAAGAGGAAATCTGCAAAAATCTGCAAAAGCAGAAAAAAAAGCAACCTAGACACCTGCATATTGCTTATCCCAGGGCTGTTCATACAATGCCATCATACCACTTACCTGAGAGGGATTGGCATTGCCCTCAACAAAGGAAGGTGTCACATTCCCTGCCACAATCCAGCTAACAAGCGAAGAAAGCAGACCTTTGTCACAATGATAGCCCAAAGCATTCTGCACAGAAACAGAAAACATTTGGGTTTTTTTTTTGTAGGCAGCCTAACAGACTATTTACAACCTACAGGTATGTCATCCAAGTTACTTTCTGCCTCACTTTCTGCTAATTCCCAACCTTACCTCAGCCAGCCACCACTGAAATGCCTGCTTGTACTTTATTTCCTTCTCAGTGAAAAGATTCTGTTATAGTCACAGTGTCTGTTTTTTCAGGAGAGGAAGCTCTATTTTTGTTGTAAACACACTACTAAACATTTGAAATGCAAAGACCACAAATTCAAATACTATGATACAACATGTATGAACGAATGTGTTCAAAATAGGGTTTAAGTATTATTACTATTATTAAAATATCAGACATTTCATTAATCTTGACCTCCTCAGAAACAAATCAAATAACCCCATTATCACTCATCATCATGTTCTCGCCACATTTCAGGAAAATATAACCACATCAAAATCAGGATGAGCCGCATGTGAACTGACCACTTGAACTCCACAGCCACACCAATATACCACACCTATTTACCTTGTGTTGTTGGTAAAGCAGCTTTTGTACACAGTCCTCTTGACTGTACTGAAAAGCAGCTTTACATAAGTCATCCAGCAAGAAGAGTGTTGCCCGGTCCCTGTGCCACAGCTGCTGGCTGGTGAGGGCCTGAACCCAGAACTCCAGTACCGCAGCCGGCCCCACTCCGTTTGGCTGGTCACTTCGAAAAATGTGAGTCTGCCAAATTAAAGGGCAAAGCAATTGAGGAGACTGCAGCTTCAATCAAAGCTTAAGAATTCATTGAAGAACTGTTTAACTTGCATAAGGCTGCAGGCCTATCCTTAAATTAAATCATTTACAACAGTGCTCTCTGCGCCTATGTCAAAACAGCTTTGTCATCTCCAGCCTCCAAATTTCCGCAGATTCTGCAGACTGGAATGCTGGGCATCCTGTGCAATCAGCAAGAACAGATGCAAAAGCCATTAGCAGGACCCCTGTGAACTGCAGGCATAAGTGGCACCTATTTCTGAAGTGTAGCCTGCTGCTCCCGCAGAAGGACTTCCCAAGGTGGCTCTGCTTCCCTTTAGTCCTTACCCCTCTCTAATATTAGTGGGCCTTGGTTCTTGACCTCTCTGCGTTCAGGAAAACACTACTGTTCCCTAACACAGCAACATTTTTTCATACCACAGCCACAAATTAATGGCCAAAAAGTAAAGCTTTCAAACGTTAATAAATCTGCTGCGTTCCTCAACTAACACAAGCAAGAAAGCAGCGCTGCATGTTACCTTCCCTTTTTAGGTAGTTTTGACCTGGTACCAGAAAATGCATTTTCCAAGAAGTCTGGAAGGCACATGTTGTTGTTATGTCCAGTGTCACATGCATTCCCAGATTTATGCAAGTTTAAGCACAAGCATTTCAAGAAGCTTCGTGCGTGACGCAGGGTACTCTGTGGCTGCAGAACGGCCAGATTCAGTATCCTTTCTAACCTTAAACACTAACTCAGTCAAAAAAAGCCTACCTGTTTTTAAACTCTCTCCCCCTTTTTTTTTTTTTTAAATAATCTTCTTACCTGTATCATACTACTAAGCAGCTTAACATTTTCTCCATAGCTCACTCCTGTCAAGTGCTGTGTTACTTTATGAGTAACCTGCTGGGTCATGCCTTGAGGGACTCCACTATCCAGATGAAGGAACAGTTGAACGTAAGATAAAAACCTAGGGATGTCAAGAAATTTAATTAATTCTAAAGTTTCCCCTACTTCATAATATACAGAAAACCTGCTTCTAGAGAACTTAAAACCAGCTCAACAGCACTGGTGACACCCACGTACAGGGACTTCGATTCACAGCCATGCTGCAGATTTAACTGCCCCCGTTGAACCGTATCATATGCACAGTGTGAGCAGTTCACAGCATACTGTAATTCACAGTAGCTCATCAGCACTGCTCATGATCCACATCAGCACCCAAATCTAGCTCAGGAATGGTCTGGGAGACTGCCAGGTGGTCCAAGCCAAAAGCACCCCATGGACCACATTACACAGGCTAAATAGCATTGCCTGCTTGTCCTTCTCACTCATCTAAACACAACAGCTACACGTAAGTCTACTTGTAAGACCACTTCTGTGGCATGGCAGCAACATCAGTGATGACTGCACACATGATGTCAGCACGACACACTACTTCATCAACCACAGTCAATGTCAAAAAGTAACTTGGCAAACAAACCAGACGTACTGCCCCATCATCTGCGCCACATTCTCACCAGATGCAAAATCCAGAAAGAAGCCTGATAAATTTAACAGTTAAGATTAACTTCCACTGTTCTTTATCAACAAATGCATTAGGAAAAAATAATGCTTACTGTTCATTCTTCAGGAGATAGTACTGGCAAGAGTAAAATAAGGGTAAAATTTTATCCAGCACATGGACTACCGTTCTCAGATATCTAGACTGGACAAGCACACCCAGAAGAGGGATCCCTTCCGCACAGAACTTCTCAATGCTGAAAAAAAAAAAACCAACAAAGAAAAAAAAAAAAGGAAGAAAAAAAACATTGACTACCAGTAGAAAGGGAGATACGGTGCTGACTCTTCTTGTGAACTCAGATGGAAAGACATTAGTATCTTTACACTTCATCTTTGGAGCCCTAAACAGCTAAGTCCACAGGGTTTTCTCTTCAGCTGTAGCAGTCACTCAACTGCTGAGAGGTTTGGTAAGTATTTCCTGCCCTTCTGGGGGTTTGTGCCTTGTCTTCCAAAAAATCACTGGAGATGGCAGTCTTCATCCACCAAGTTTCAATCAATGCAATGCTCGGTGTTCTTGCCTAACCCAGAAAACTAGCATCCCTCTCCAGGCAAAGGAAGAACCTCCAGAGGGAGTTTCCTATTATCCAGCTTTGACATCTCCTCAGGATGGATGACGCTCTGGACATCTTTCTTCACTACCCACAGATGGAGCTCAGAAGGTTTCCTTATAGTAGGTACTCAGATGATTGCAGTCAGCTGAGAGGAATCCTGCCCTTACTGTCCAGAAAACTCCCTAGCAGCAACTTACTTGGTATATTGCTTTGCATCAAGTTTTGCTAACTGAGAAGGGTTGCACATTAGGAAGAGATTTAAAACATTAATCCTATTTCTACTCTAAGGTCATGAAAATGAAATGACTGCATTATGTCACCACGACACAGTACAGCCCTTTGTGTCTTCTGCTCATTAGCATAACCGGCCATGAACTTTTTGCATGTCATAAATATCAGTGTTACCATTTAGATAGGAGAAGGATGTCAAATGGTTCTTTGCAAGGCCAAACAGCTTTAGGGGAAGGGAACACAGAAGTAAAGAGGTTCCTTGTTTTTCATTGCAAGCTCCAAGTCAGGTAAAAATTTCCACTCTCAAACCAGAATACCTTCCCAACAGTCTCAAACTACCCCAGCGCTTTGAAGAACCACACACGTATCTACGGCATAAACTTAGCATCGAGCAATGGCTTGGGGAAAGAGAAGACAGAATTTCTCTTTAAAGAGTAAAGCAATACTATATGGAAAAAACAAGTTAGTAAAAAATTTTAATATGAGTAAGAGATAATCAAAGAGATAAAAGATTCAGGAAAAATAGACCTGGGAGATTGATTAATCTACGCCTGGCTCAGTACATTAATCGACTAGTACATTTGATTATGTCCAAGAACATTACCTACAAACCAGCTGAAAGCACTGGAAAAGATTGTGTTGGAACAGAGTCAGGGCTAGGAGGTTCAGTACCAAGGTTATAAAGTTCTCTTATATCATTACCAGAATAAGTAGGTTTTTTTCACCTCACTATTTTCTGAATGCTCTACTGCAGCCCTGCTAAAAAAAAAATTACCTGTAGAACAACCCTTTCAGTAAGTGCGGTTGAAAGTTATTCCTGTCCATAGCAACCACGCTAATCTAGTTTCCATACTATTTCTAACGACTAACCCTAACAGGCAGAAGGCAAAAAACAGTATTGGCAAAATAAAGGAAAAGGCACATTGTCTGAAAGTACAGCCCCTGAAGGACTGCTGAAGCCCTTGCATCACAAGCCCTTCATTCTTTAAACACACACAAAGCAGTCAACAGCCCTCAGTTCATCGTTAGGTAGGCAGCTCAGTCACTGGGGCCACCCACCCAAGGCAAACGCGGAAAAAACACACTCACTTGTGACCTAGCGTGGTCATCGCCAGCGCCAGGTAACAGCCGATAGGGATGCCTGCTTTAACGGCCTTCAGGAGCGGGTGAAGCGCGACCGACTCCGTCGTGTCGAGCACACTGTCGGACGTGGGGACTGCAGGCCAGCCATGCTGCATGCCACGGTCGTTTCTGTGAAGCTTTAACCTCAAAATCAAACCCCAGGCCCACTGGTTAAAGGAAGTCTCTGGTGTTTCTCCGTAACGAACAATGCTGGCTAAGTAGGAGACCTGGAACAAGCAGGAACAAGACTGAGAGGAAGCACAGCCATACAGCAGGTATGGTGCTAGTCTAGGGCTTGGGTCAGCCTGCACAAGTCTCCTCTTCTACCACAATACACAAGATCCGAGCAACAGTAGTTATTTTTGAGACACACCACGTAGCACCACCAACTAAGTTTGTCTGAAACCTCTGTTCCTATGACCTTAATTTCCACCACCCCTCTCCCCGCACCAATCACTTTCGGTAAAGGCTACCAACCTATACTCTTTGGCTATTTTCCAAACTAGGTATTGGTCTCAGGTTAAATTTTATTTTTACTACTTCAAAAAAACCCACACACAACATTCATTCACATTTAAGACTGTTAAAGAAAGGAAATCTATATATATATATATACACACACACACAAAAATAACATTTGTGAACAAAAAGCCTGAAACCTGACAGCCTCTCCTTACAAAGAAGTCTGTAACACAGGCAGAGTCTCTGTCTCATGTACATGTGTCCATTATCATGAAGACCCTGTCTAGATCAGAAGAAATTAAAAATCTTTGGGAAAAAACCATTGTACATGCTCTGACAAACCAGGGCTGGGAGTCAATGCAGACATTTCATCCTCTCCGAGTGGGGGTACAAGAACCTAAGCATTATTTTCTCTCAAATTCCAGTTACAAGGTCATGCAAGTCAGGACAGATTCACCAACACAAGTGGCAACCAAGGCTGAAATAGGCTTAAAAAGAGAACTCAACTAGCTGGCACAAGACCACAAACCCTGATTAAGTAGTGCAGAGAAGCAAGTCAGAAAAGAGCAGAGACAATAAGGAACACTCAAAGTGTGAGAAGAAAAGACTGGGGAAAAAAGCGCAGGGGAGGAGGGGAGGAGAAAGCACTGTACAATAAATACTGAGAAGACAAAGCACAACACAATGCTAAAAGCTCTGAATAAATAAATAGAAGCATCTTGGATTGAATATCCAAAAAAAGGGATTTTTAACCTTGGTCTTTCTATCCTTCCATTCCCCTTCTGTAACCTGGAGCCATACCTTCCTCAGTCACCAGTGTGCTGTAAAATCAATGTAATAAATGTTTGCAGGGTGTTCAGGTAACACAGCACTGATCACTACTGAAAAGCTCCTAAAAATCTTGAGTCTTTAAATAAGGTAAGACTAAGAACTGGAGAAATAGGAAGGATGTCTCTTATGTTCACCAGTAATAGCAAGGAGCCTTTCATTAAGCAAGTCCTGGCCAACTCCACGTGAGTAAAGGATGCTTTGCACCTACCCAACTACAGGCTGGATAAGAATGCAAACCTACAAAGGGGACAAATTTAAAACTTCTATTTCTCATATAGATGTTCAGTGTAAGTCTAACAGTATCTTCAAATAGGTCTGTGGGTGAAAAACTACGGAGAGCTGGTATACTATGATGTTCTAGCAGTACCAAGACAGCGTGGCTTTTAAAAAGAAGAAAGAAAACAAGGCCTTGGCCTGCATTTTTCCTATGTATCACTAGTAATAAGCTATCCTCTGTAATTCTGAAGAAGAAATACCTGCTTTATGCTTTCAGAAAGCAGCCCAGCATATGGCTTCTGGGAGAGATATTTCTGATATGCTTCCAGGACCGTCAATGCAACTTCAGAATGGACAGCTGGATCCAGATGAAAAGCATCCTGCTGGAAACAGAATCACATGACAAAACTTCACCTCACTTCAAAGGTCTTTACAACTGTATCACTCAGCTGCACTTCAGAGAAACAAATCTTAATTTGAACAGCCAAAAAGAGGTTAAATATTGTAACACCTAAGCAAAATCTTGGCCACTAAGAAAAGTTTCGGCCCAACACTGAAGAATAACAAGCTCACACTGGGCAATGCAAAGCTCAACAGCTAGATCACTTCCAGAAAAAAGTGACCATAATCACTACTCATGTGCATTTGGTGGATTTATAGCAATTAATCCAAAGATCCATAGATGTTGGATTACCTAAGTACACAGTGGGTTTTTTTTAATTACATACTACATTATATAGTATAGACACTGGAAATCTTGCCTTTAAAAACAAAACCAAAAAAAAGTACTGTTTTTTGTACCAAAACGTAGTAATTCCTCTTACCAACTGCCACATTAAAGAACTGTTTTTCCCCATATCAAAGCGTACAGACATGACACTGTTGTTGCACAGCAAAGACCTCACAGTTAATTTTTCCCTACCAGTCCTTTGTTTTCACATGTCATCAAGAAACACGGAGAAAAAGTAAGGCAATCTTCACGGACAAGTATCAGCACAGCAAAGAGAAGAGTTCAGTACGACCAAATGCACAGACCACAGTGCTAAAATGGATCACTGAACACAGGCTAAAAGGATTTCTCCTGCAATCTATTTCTGCTTCTCTCAAACTCAGGGCTTTGAAATCTCTAACTTCAATCACCAGTTTTCTTGCATTGTGGAAAACACACCTGGATGCCAACCTGCAAACAGCCAGCAAAACAAAGTCTCACACAGAATTTTCGGAGGATTCCTCTATTTCTGCAGCCAGAGATATCTTAAGCAAGTGACTCACAAGAATTGTCCTGTCAGCTGTTTCCTCTTGTTTAGAGAGGAAACTCCGGCTTAAATATCTCTTTTAATCTCAGCTGCAGCACTACAAGAAAGCAACACAAGCAAATCCTCAGGCAGAAAGTTGCAAAGCCATTGTGAAGTTCCCATCCTATGCCATCAGCTGTACAGCCGTCACATAAAAGCGCACAATTAACTGTTTTCACATCCAGTTACAGTCCCCGGTTAACTAACGCTTTTACTCTGTAAAACTGACCAAGTTAGGGTCTCCTGTTTGTAATACATACATGCTCACCGAATCCCCAGTTTAGCCCTTCCAAGATAATGCAGGCTAGTTTATTCTCCACTGTCGTTAGACTGTAATTTAATAACCAGTCACGAATCAGTGATATCTCAGACGCAGAAGGCTTCCACAGGTACAACGGCAGTTCTTTAAACAGATATAAAGCAACCTTAGAGGGCAGAAAAGAAAAAAAAAAAGGCAAATCAGACCTCAGTATGGAACAATAATCAGCATTAAGCCCTTCTATCTTAAAGAGTGATATGATCAAAAAACCCACAGACAGGTCTTTAACACAATCCACTCATACCCAGCTATATCTTACAACACAGTCTGGTACAGCCCCTAGTTTTAACAGGGTGCCTGCTTTAAATGATGGATGTCAGCACTTACCATCCCGACTTTCTCGATGGTCTCTCTCACTCGATCCAGCACCACAGAAATAATCTGTGTATGGATGCTGGCAATCGCTCCCAAGAGCTCCCGACCAACTTTTGAAAAGGTCTCTCTTGTGGAAAGACTAACATAAGACACCTGAGAAGACGGGCAGAAAGAGGTTACTGGTTGCGGCTGGCCTTCACTGGCCGCAATAAAATGTCTTTCAGAAAATACAGAACTAAATTGCTCTTGGTGATCCTGGGAGAAAGTTGATAAACGCCAATATTAAAAACTGAAACTGATTGCCCTAGAAGATAAGGAAATTATTACACCACAGTGCCAAAAACAAAGTCCAAAACTAAACACAGGAACAGTATCACCTCACACATTAAAAAAAACAAACACACACAAAAACCCTACGCACCACAACAGAAAAAAATCACCACACAAGGAATTTCAGAGCTACAAGTTAGATCTGTGCAAGAAAAATAAAAAGCAAAATAAAGATATTTTTGTTCATTTGTTTCATTCTGGCTTGGTCTACAGAAAAGCTGTCCTTTCTCCCAGAAAAACACCCCCTTCAGGATACTGTAACTCAGTACTAGACTGCAAACTTCAGAAGTAGCACCTTCTTAGCTCTATGTAGAGCAAACTACAGTAGCCATGAATGTTTCACACCTTCCACTGTCAGGAAAAGAGCACACTCATTCTTTTCCTGAATGAACCAGCAGTATTACTCACCTCATATATCTCCAGAGCAATGATTCTGATAAAATCCTCATCAACATCAGCCCGTTTGGTTTGTGCCATCTGAGCAAATGTGGTGAGCAGACAAATTTCTTCTGAGCAGTTCATTGATTTCAGATACTTTTCAAAATTTTCAAGATGCTCTGGGTCTAGAAAAAATTCATATGAAAGAAACACGATAAAAGAAGTGTTGCAGAACATATATCATCAATATTTATACATTTATTGACAGTCCAATCCCAGAGAAGGAATTAGTGACAAAGGAATTATCATCACTGGCTTAGTACCTTCTCTTCAGAAGAAGCTGCTGGTATCAGCTGCTTTAAAGTGTAAGAAACATCACAATATGCAGTGAGTCTATATGATACAGTAAATATGCTAGTAATTCATAATGAAATCTAAAACTGCTTCAAGAACAGCTGGAATTCAATTTTAGTATTATTTTAACTATGCAATATCAAGCATCCACAGGAATAATTGCTTGAATCTTTTTGCTTTTCAAAAATGTTATGGTTTTGGCTTCCACTACGTATAACAGCTATTAATTCCACAGATTAAGTCCAAATTACATTAAAGGATTCTAGTTTTAATCAGCACACAGTCAAGAGAAGAATAAAACTAAGCCCATCCAAGCACAGCAGAGAGGTTTTGATCAAGTTGAGAGACTCTGCCCATTGCACATACCATGATCTCAAACAGCAATTAAACTGGGAAGATCATTCTACACCAACTACAAACAAAAATACTTCAGGCATCTAGTCCTGGGCCTAGATTATGTCCAAGAGTTACAAGCAAAGGTCAGTTTCAGTTTCTCAAACCCAATACAAGAAAATTACTGAATGCAATTGTCTGGAAAAATATCTCTGAGAACAGTGAACTGAAGTTACGCAGGACAGGAAGGCTGAGAGATGCTTTCACTTGAATTCAAGACAGGTTTCCTCTTTAAACCCAATAGTGACATGTTGCCAAATGCAAATAAACATTTAATTCCTCAGGGTGGGGGACAATAGGAAGGGAAGGGTACAAAGAAACCTGAACAGGACTTCAATATAATTTTTTATTTCTTCCAAATAACTTTAAATAGAGTCTGTGCAGCAAAACAAGCATTGAAAGCTGCACTTCAGTTGTAAAATGGTTTGGAGACCAGTCTGCTTCCTCTGAAGCATAACATGCCAGTGAACGCTGTTTACAGGGATCTTACAGCAGCTGAATATTCCAAAGAAGCACTCATTGTGGCACTCAGCTCCTTGATCTGCACAGGCACGTGCTCAGCATGCGCATGATTAAACATTTCCATTTAGGTTAAGTTCTATTTTAAGGGCTTTCAAGAATTTTGCAACTGTACTTCAACCTGAGAAGGTCAGACTCGTACAGCCAAAACATCTCATGAACAGTGTGCTAGAGGATTGTGCAATTTAAGTAAAGAGTTTTTCCATACAGTAAGATAAACAACACCCCTGACAGACATACAGGGGATATTGTATCTATCTCATCCATTCATCTCCTGTTCCTAATGCTACCTTTTATCCTCATAGTAGAGATTACAGAGCACTGTGGTTTTTGCTGTTGTTTTGGCGGTTTTTTTAAGGTAATACAGAAGGGAAAAAAGACTATTCCATTACTCTACATAAAGGCACAGCAGAATGACCCACAGCACAGGATAGGGGCAGGACATGTGTGTAACAAATGATTATGACAGCATTTGTCATAGTAGCATCATGATGTCTGCCTCTATTTCATTAGGCATCGACCAGGTAGGCAACACAGAAGGTGCTTGGAGGGGGACAGAAGAGAAAAAAGGGATCTGGTAGAGCTAAGGACAAAGACCATAAACGGAAGGAGGAGGGCTGGTGCACTGGACCTTCTCTGCCGCAAGTCACAGCCCTGCGACCTCTCCCAGCTTCCTGCTTCAGCTGCATCTTCCTCTTCCCTGTACCTGGGGTTGTCTGCGGACTCCACACGCTGCGGACTCCACGTCAATCTCAAACCCACACCAAGCCATAGCTTGGGACTGCAGGATGGGGACAAGGAAAAAGGGAGGAAGAGAGACTCCACCTAAATCCTTCCATCTCACAGTGCAGCAATGACATCTTCCCCACAGAGCTGCTACTTCTGAGCCTTCCTCCTCTGCACATTTGGTCACACTACACTTCAAGTTCAGAGAGACCCTAAAAATCAGTAGCTCCTCAAATCTTGGTACTGGCAGTAAACTGTAACCAGAAGTGTTGTTGAGCAGGTTCTCACTGCCAATTGCAATGGAAGCAAAGATAAAACTGTTAATCCTATACTTATAAAACCTACAGAGAACACATGCTTGTACTTACACAAGTTATCAAACATCAAGAAGAAACTACTAGGTCGTTGCTTGTCAGTGAAAAATGCGTGTTCCACAGTAAGTTTATTAACATTTGGTCCACTCAAGAGTACCTCAAGTAACCAGACCTCCTGTATTTCCCCAGGGGGTTATTTTATATCTGGTAGCTCTCAATAGTCCAGAGGTTGTCCTAGTAAGTGCAGCTCCTTCTCTGCACTCTTATTTATCATGCTATTTCTACCTAACCCTTAAAAGCAACTACGCTCTCACCTCTGTTTCAGCAAGCCTAAAGATTTCATCAACGACCAAGGCTTGCTACCACCTTAGATTCACCACTCTAACATTTCCCGAACTTCATTTGGGAAGGGCAATCAAAAAAGCTTCTATCCCAAAACCATGGTCTTTTAGGGCATGAATTACAGGAAACTAAGTCAGTGTCAATTGGCAAGTGTCAGTCAGAAGAAGCTGTTTCAGAAGATTAGAGGGATTTCCCTGAAAGAACTGGTAATATTCCCTGTCTAGACATTTGTGAAAAATAGCACTGTGCTGACACAACCCATTGAGGAGAACGAATATCCTGTATCAGCATACCAGGGAGGTTAAAACAAAAGTTAGCTAGAAGCAAACCAAAGCCTGAACAAAACAAAACAATAAAATAAAGAAAAAAATGTTTGTTACTGTCAGAGCTGCAACCCACCACATCATACTACACCCTCTTTGTTCGAGATGCAGTAAAAATTTATCGCAAAACAAAAATAAAGAAGTCGTGCTGAAATAGTGTAATTGTTACTGTTTTGGCTGACAAGTGCTAATCAGATCAGCACTTCATAAAAGCGTACATAGCTACACAGAATCACAGAATCTTTGAGGCTGGAAAAGACCTTTGAGATCATCGAGTCCAACCACCAACCCTGCTCTACCCAGTACACCCCTAAACCATATCTCCAAGCACCAAATCCTAACAAACTTTGAACACACGAAGGGATGGTGACTCAACCACCTCCCTGGGCAGCCTATTCCAATGCCTGACAATCCTTGTGGTGAAAAATTTTTCCCAATGCCTACCCTAAACCTACCCTGGTGCAGCTTGAGTCCGTTCCACAGTCTTGCTCTCTCTCTCCCACTGTGTAAATTGCCTTAATGTTACCTGAGCTTGCACAGAGGCAAGACATGGAGTAACCTCTCAAGACTGCCATTTTCTTCTGCTTCTCCATCAAAAGACTTGGTTGATGTGGTAACAGCTATCTGCGCTACGAGCTAGCTGAAAAGCAAAACTGACAAAGTGAGATTTGTGCTCCCTGAAGACAGTGAAGAGGCTGTGAAGTAGGGAGTTACTGCTTTGTTTACCTGTCTCCCTGTCAATCAAGTCCTGAAATATTTTCCATGAAGGCAGCAGCAAAGGGTAAGTAGCATTCCAGCCGGCTTCTAAATAACTTTGCTACAGCTGAAGCCACCACAATCACTGTGGAGATCAACACGGGACAGAAGTCAAGGGGAAATAGAAAGAAAAGGTGGCATATAGGACAAAAAAAGGCATCAAAAGAAGGCTTGAAACAAAGGAAAAACTTCTGTAGCTGTGGAACACAAGCAGACCTCCCACAACACAAAAACTCTGTATTTTAGGATTTAAATCACTCTCCAAATACTGTCCAAGGTCAAGATGGGACCCAATACAAGAATACACAAGATGCACCTACTGCATAGCACTCTTGCAGCTCTCTCAAGCAGCCAGTGTCAGCCACTGTCAGAGTGAAAACTAAAAGGACTGTAGATCCAGCAATTCCTGTTAAAAATGAGAGTTTGGGCAAACAAGTACTGGAAGGCCATGAACCGCCCAAGACACTCCTAAGGCCTCTGGACCAGTCATGCTGCTGAGGGTGTATTTAACAATGAAACCTGCAAAGAATTAAGCTCGTAGCTGATGCAGCAGTAGCCAAATCAATTAGAATTGGTTCTGAACACAGGAATTCTACCTTTGAGTCTTTGTTTGCAGTCAGCAGGTTGCAGAGTAGAGCAGAGCTTTTCCAGGTGCTCGCTCTCCGCACAGTGCATGACAAAGAAGAGCCTCCAAAGCATGTTGCAGGATAAGGTTCCATAAGGCATCTCGGACATGAACAACCAGACTCCCAACCTGTTTGGATTTGAAGAGGCAGAGAGAAACAGTTTCATCCTGATAAATCCCAAGATTTGAAGAGGAGATATATGCCCACACCTCTGCCATACAACAGAACTAGGAATGTGAAGATGTGTCTTAGCATCCCAAGTTCTGAGTTAACCTCATTCTGAACTGAACAGAGCTTCTGTCAGATGCTAAAATTCAAAGCAGAATCCCTCCCCATCTTGATGCTACCAAAGTGCCGAAAAATCCTGCATACTGCAGCCTTGTTTAAACCATTTATTTAAAGCTACTCCAAACCCCAGTTTCAAACATCTAACTCCCCCAAGATGAAGCCAGTATCAATCACACGGGATAGCCTACCTTTTTGCCTTCAGAACATGCAGAACAGCTCTAAAAAACAGCTCATCGAACTCCAGTTGCAATTTTTCCACAGAGTAGGGATGTGCTACAGATCCGTATTGTTTATTGACGCTAAAGTATTGGGCCCAGTGGTCACTCACATGACAAAGCGTCATCCTACACATCAGAACAAGTTGAAGAAGGATCATCAAGTATGTCATCACCATACAAAAACACAAACAAGTGCAACTAGATCAGAATGTAGTCACAAGAGACACATTCAACCCTTTGTCCTCCGGTTTCCAGAGATTTCCATATAAATCGCATTTGTCTTCCTTCTTCATACAGGGTTAGTCTAAAATTCCTGTGTTATCCTTCCTTGGTTTTGCAAGCAAACAATGCATAATGCTCTGTTATGTCAAATTAGCTTGTGAACTCCAGAGCCTTAAGGTAATCCTATATGATAAAATGCCAGTACATGCAAAAAGCTCATACAGGAAAAAAGTTACTGCTCTAACAACACAAAGAAAAATAAGGATTTAGTTTCTGATTTAACTACATCCCCCCATGAAAACACACTCACAGAAGCCATATAAAGTGTCTGCTAGAGACTAAAACTAAAGAGCAACTTTTAGGTTTCAATTACATTTGCTTACTGCAACAATATGACAATTTTCAAGGAGCAAATTAAAAATCCTAGAACAATTCTGGGCAACAACAGAAAGAAAGCAGTAACCCTGGTTATAAATAGGGGTGATTTGAAAAACTGTCTGTTGGATTTCAGTGACTTTCCAAGACCAGCCTAAGCACACCCCTGATGGAAGTCAGCCTGGTGTTCCACGGCTCACCCAGCTCCTTCGTACCCAACAGCATTTAGGTTCTGCAATTCCCCCCTTCAGAGTCAAGGGCAGCGGGATTTCAGATTCCCAGACTGGCTAACCTCAAACTGACCAACTCTCAGAGTAAGTAACTGGGATTTTTGTTTTGGTTGGTGGGCTTTGGGGTTTTTCTGTTTGTTTGTTTGGCAGTTGGGGGGCGGGGTTTCTGGGGGGGTTTTTTGTTTGTTTTGTTGGGGGTTTTTTTTTAAGCAGTTCTGAACTTTAAACCAGACTGTATGAAAAAGATTAAATCATATCACAGAGAAAATATTCTCTTACTTGATCAGCTGACCAATTCGCTTCACAAACTGTCGGTATCGTGCTCTGTTAAATGTTTCTAACCCTGCAGACAGAAGTTCCACTAAGGAGTTTGCAAAAGCAAAAATCTTCATCATCTCCTGGGGAGTAGTTTTTTCAGGAAAGTAAGCACCTAAGACCAAGACAGAAAAATAAGTCTCAAAAAAAACCAAGTGTGAATTCTGGGGTTTGCAAGTAATTAACAAGCACTCAAAGCAACGATTCACCATAGAGCTGGCAAACAACGAACTGTTTGCCCGCTATATAGTGAACTGAAATCTGTTATGAAATGAACAATAAATACCTGTTAAGTATGAAAGTACAAATAAACTATGCAGGTTATAAGACCTCTAGCAAACACTTACCTAAATTTACTTGCCCAGAGATTTAGCAAAATAAAGAATGAATAAATAACTGAAGAAAAATCACAGTAACATTACAGCTAAGATGCAAAGCGGAAAAATTAGTTCTGAAAGCATATCTGTGACTGTAACTACCCAGCAGATCGAAACTAAGGGAAAGGACTCAACATTCTGCATGCTGTAAGTTTTTAAGTTATCCCATACACACTGCATACGCTTCCATCTCATCTGTTCAGTCTGAGCTGTTATGCAGGTTCATTATTATTTCACTCAGACTCCCACAAAGCGGTAGATTCTTGGCAGTTTTAGTCATTAATACAATTAGTGTAAGCAAAATGAAGAATGACTCTTTAGCAGCTGATTTACCTCCAGACTTAAACCCAAGGAACTGCTGAAAGAGTTCATGAAATGGAAACTGTGACAACAGGGCAATCAAGTCATCTTCCAAAAGCAGAATCCAGCTTGTTTCAGGATCCTCATCCTGTAGACATATACAGCCGCTTTTAGTAGCTTTACAACACAACTTTAATGGTAAAAGGGTAAAAGGTAAAAGGGCTTCGCTATCGTACTAATTACAGTTTGCTGGTAAGAGGAAAACAAAGAAAGTACAAATGAACTCTCTTTCCCACACACACACAAGCTCCTAAATTCCTCTTCTGCGTGTTTCTACATAAAAGCCATCATCAGCTAGGAAACACAACTAGAGGCAATGCTATGTTAGTCCACCCCAGCTTCTGAAGCGAAGCACCTATTCAAATGTATGTCTACTTCCACGCTCCTTTTGCATGCGATAGCTCAAGTGTTTAAATTCTGTCTGTTAATACTCATTCCTGGAAGCTCCGCTATCTACAGTTACATCACAGAGATAAAAAGAAAGTATAATAGATCTAGGTTTCAAATGATGCTTTTTAGCTGAACAAGTCACATCACCTTCCTTCATTTCACAAAAAAAATCAAGTACAATAAGCTTGAGCAAAAGCATAAGGGGAAAAAAAAATTTAAAAAGTTATTTGCTGTACCTCTTCTCCTCCTTCATCTACCAGGGTCCAGTTTCCAGATTCTTTCCCAGATGAAGAGGAACTTTTCCTTTCACTTGGTTTCATATGGCACATGAAGTCCACACGATTTCTGATTTAAAGTGAAAATCCAAGTTTAAAAAAATTAGAAAATTAAAAATTCTAAATTATCTTTCAGTTAAGAGAAAATATTAAAAAAACAGATACAAGAACAAGAAATTAAGAAATATGTCAGAAATCTGCCCAGCAGAAAAGGTCCTGGGGGTGCTGGTCGACAGCCGGCTGAACAAGACTTAGATACGTTGAGCAATCACAACCAGAGACCTTGCAGGAAAGAGCTGCCTCAAATCAAGCCAGCTCCAGCTCCATGCATTAGACCACCTTAAGTCTGGATACCAGTTTTCAGACTCTATACTGTATACACCCTCAGTTGTTCAGACAGAGCAGCAAGTCAAACAAACATGCAGAAAGGTTACATATAAAGCTAGAAGTCTAACATACAACTTCCTTCTAACTTGAAATGCACTGGCAGAACTCTGCACACAGCATCACAAAACTCTGGCATATTATCACCCTCCTGAGCTCCTTGAACTTATACTCTGATAATATGAACATATTACAAAGGAAATAAAATTTTTAAGGTACCGATTTCACAAACCAAATTCAGAATTGGAACTTGTTCCTGACACGTAGCAGCTCAAGAGACAAGTCTCAGCTCTTCTACCAGCAAGTACAGACATTGTGGAGGCTCTGTGTTCTTGTATCAACTGCTGAGAGCATCACTCCAGACAGTCTTAGTAATCAGCCCTTGTTCAAAACACAACTATCAAAATGCACTGGCAATACACACATCCTCAAGACACACTTTCCCCAGGTAGCTCTAGACAGGAAACGTGAAAACAAAACCCTTTAAAATAATAGCCTCCAACAAAGAGGACTCCCACTTAACTCAGGGTCAGACTATCAAGATCACAATGACAACCCTAAATACCAGCAGTTTGATTGACATTGAAATTTGGGGGGGGGG